CACTCTAAATCCAGTCAAATGAGGTGATGCTCGCCCATAGATGCAGTGAAGAAGAACAGTGTTTGAGTCAGTTGGTTTGGGACGCACAGGGAACAACCGGTTGTACTTGGAATGTCCTACGTGAAGCTCCGGACATGAACTCATCCAGTCGATTCCTGGCAGCCAGCTATCGACATCCGTCCAGGCAAGGACTACAAGGGTGCACAACAGGAAAAGCTGCGCAAGATGGACAAAGACGTCTTGGTAACCTGGGCATCATTGGCCGCCTCCTTTTCCAAGTGCCCAATGAAGACGCGAGACACATTGGTCTTTGACGTGCATTTGAAGGGCGTTTCTAGATAGACATCCTAGGTTGCTGTGATTGGGTGGTGTTCACTGTTGGGTAATGTTGGGGTGCCAGCACTTGTCTACAAGTGTCTACGCATATATTACACATGCATATATATATAATTTATAATGTGTATATATATATATATCTATAAACCCTCCCTCCGGCAGACCCTTTGTTAGTGAAATTTACTGAAAGAAGGTTGTTTTCCAAAGGTGCATGTTCCCCACCCATCTTACCTTGGAGAACGAAGGTCCCTCGCTGCCGCGCTTGGGGCTCCGCATGTGACATTGCCTCGTTCCCAGGCGAAGAACAAAGCCGCCGCCTTGGCCGCTTGGGACGAAGAGGACTTCTTCATGGACGAGGCGAGGCGCTGTCTTCGGGTGTTCCAGGAGGAGCAATGTGGATGGGAAATGAGAATGGAGGGAAATGGCTGGATCCCATCAGATTGTTTAGCATGGCTTGTGGGTCCTGCACGTGTTTTGTTGTTTGTTTGATTTTTTTTCTTTTTAAACGAGTATCTCTCAGAGTTTGATGAAGGGGACAGCTGTACAGGAATTGAAATGACATTTGTTTGTTCCCACTTGCCAACGTTCTGCAAGGAATTCTGACCCATCTCGCCTGCACCAGGAACCAGTGGAGGAGGAGATCATCGAAGAAGAAGAAGAAGAGGAGAACGAGGAGGAAAAGTTGACACCTGAGGAGGAGGAGAAGCCGACACCCTTTGCAGCAAACACGTAACGTCTACTGGGCAGCGAATTGCACAGAGCGATTTGCAGGCACAGCCACCGTTGTAGTTGATGGTGTCCCCATGTGTCCCCTATATAGTTGTTTTTCATGTTTTTCTTTATGACACTATCTAGATTCCGGGCAGTGGTTGGGGTTTCGAACATAGAGTTGAGAGTATTTTTGAGGACGTTTTGTGTCAAGCTGGTGATATCAAGTGGGGTGGCCTCATAAGATCGACATTTGATGACGCCGTTGAGAAAGGTTTCAGTAATGTGAGAATGGAAGGGAAGGGAACATTGAATTGACAATAGGACCATTAGGATGAGGAAGGGAAGTGGTGACAGTAGTGGTGGCAGTATAAGGGGTGAAGAGGGAGGAGAGGGCCAAGAACAATAAGATTCAGAAAAGCAACATCCAACAACCACAACCGCAAGAGGACACCCCTAGACTGGGCCCGTGGGCTGGGCCCACATGTCCAAGTTCGGCAATCAAACTTCCTTGAACCCCCAACGTCAATGTTGGTATGTACGATCCCCGCAACTAAAATTGACATGTTATTTTTGGGTGGAAGGCCTCAGCATGGACAGATGTCTCACAACTTTGAAGTTGGGGGTCAAGGGGCGTGGAGAAGGCAAACATGGTTCAAAGACAGATGGCTGCTTTTTGAAGAACCCGGTATCAAAATTATTTGAACAACAAAAGACTGCAACCTACAAGTAGCTGTTGCTGCTCTTGAGTACAGATACATGCAAATACCAATGTTGAAACCACGGAGCACCGCAAGATCCATAAATAAACGGATATCAACGGCACCCTTTCAGCTGGAGGAAACTGGAGGGTGTGGGATACTCCTGGGTACAATGTCCAGGAGCGCAGGAAGAGGACGATAAACCTTGCCTCAGAGGAAGCAAGTGTAGCCTGACAATGAAGTGGTGGCAGGAAGAGGCACCGTATGATCACACTGTGAAACGGTTGTTGTTTTTCTTGTGTTTTAAAGTTTATCATTCTGTTTCTCGGCCTTCTGGATGTATGTTTCTAGGTTCGGAGTTCGTTTTGGCCACATGCTAATGGCCCATTTATTATGGTGGATGATACAAATACATTCACCCATTCACCGGGGGATGAGACAAAGGTGGATGTGCCAGACCAGGTGAATACTTCGCACGGAACCAGCTGATCCAAAAGACCCCAGCTGATCCAAAGACTGATGATTTGAGTCTGATGGTGATCGAAATCTCATGGATTCCTGGGTATCCTCATGTATCCTCGTCAATTCCAATTTTATCATCATATGGGCCCTGACACAGCTGGGTTTCGCCACTTTCCGCTGAGGCTGTGGGCGAGGAAAACCTCAAGTTGGCGACTGCGCAGGCGCCAACATGGGAAAGACACATGGCCCGCACGGTTGGTGTTTAGAGCAGGTTCAAAGCAAGCCACGCGGTGGTGGCGCTGTTCAAGAAGGTTGCGCCTGTGATTTTCCGCACTATTCAAGCTTGTTGGAGCCAAGCCAACGGTCTTCCACCTTCCCACTGGTCGGCGGGTTGGTTGCACCTTCTAGTATATTATGTGTCCTGTTCCATGTGTTTGTTTTTTTCTCCGAAGGGTGACGGGTGTGGCTGGATTAATTTCCCATCGAAATATATAATGCCTGGAGAAATACAAAACATTCAATAGAAACCGCTAGGGCGGTAGGGTGCCTGCTCTAGATCCGGTAGGGCGGTAGGGTGTATATATATATATATTATATATATACATGTATCATTGTGTTAGTAACTGTCACACACACACACATGTTTGTACTCCCAGCACTTGTACAATGCTCTGGCCAATTGGAGTGGAACTCCTCAGCACATGATGACATGATGTTGGCTTGACAGCTTGGAATTTGGTTTGTTGAAAGTGAACAGGTTTCCTAAACGCATATTCAAAAATGAACACGATTCAAGAATGGTAGTGATTCCTATGAGAACCCCACATATTTACTAAGATTTGGACTGCCGGTACCCTTCCTTTACCGATTCAGCTATTGGACAACCCCAAGTGGAATCGTTCATAGCTGCGACCTAGTCCATCTTCGCAGATCCGACCGGTCGGACATCAGCCGTGTCGTGTCACGTTCGGCATGTTCGATGCGTCACGGTGTCACGTAAGTGACACGATTTCTTTTCAATAAAGCTACCGGTCTACCAGTGATATCCATACCAGTGATATGCAATGACACTGACACTGGTATGGATATGATATAGCTAACTGTTTTCTGGTGCCTGTCAGCTGACCTGACACGCAGATTGTCACTGGTCACTAACTATTTAAAGGAGATGATGTGAGCGGTTCCCATGTAAACCAATTCCTACCCAACAGACGTTGCAGGGTCACAGAACGCAGCAACTGTGACAACCATCGCAGTAACCATCGCATATCCATAATACCAGTGTCATCACCAGCAGATGAGGGCTGCATGCTTTGGATTTGGAACTTGCAGATCGCGCTGGAAACACATCACGACAGAGCGCATTCCCACAACATCCTCTAAGAGAATCATTCACCTCCTTCCTGGTTACATGGGCTTCAGCCATGCTGTGCCGCCAGGCAAATGCCTTCCAAAACACCTCAGACGCGCAGAAGCATGCCATTATCAGCGCCATGTCGAAGAGGCGGATGGGTAGCACAAAACCATTGGGGAACTTCCTCATCAGGACTTGAATCGGAAACAACGTCCGGAAGACTCATGGACATGACACCATGAGACCTTGACACCGTCGAAGGTGCGAACGTGTTTTTGCGATTCCGACGGTTTGTGGGGTGGAATAATAGCATTCCCAGCCGTGTTTTGAGATTTTCGGGCTCATGTTCATCGCTTTCCCACCACTTAGGATTCGTAGTTGTTTCTTTTTGTACCTTTTTTGTTTAAACAAACACATCAGATCATTGAGAGTAAACACAAAGTTTAAACTTAGAGAATCGATCTTCACCCCATTTCACCCCAGTAAGAAAAAGGATCCACTGTAGCTCATCAATCCAATTCTTGGCCCATGAATGATAGCTTTTTGGAATCTTTGCTGAACTGAACTGCAGTTTCGATTCCCCAGGACCCCCTCTATATCAAGGGGTTGTCTATTTGATAGCCCCTTAGAGGTGAAGGGGTGTCCATTCATCACTCCTTGTGGGTCCTACGGAGTCCTTCCGCACCCGCACCAGGCTCACGGTGATTCAAGGGCCACCGGGCACCGGGAAGACGCACACTTCGGCACCGCGGTGAACAGAAGCCGGACGGTCGTGCGCAAAAGCCGGATCGGTCTTTGCTCATAGCGATGGGATCCCAATCTTTGCGTAGCGGGGCTATAGGCAATAGGTGTGAGAGCTTGGTAGAGCTTGTGATCTATGGCTTTGACGGGTTGAAGTCTTCAGATGTTTGAACAGTTGAAGACTTCAAGACCGAGGAGTCCAAGAATAGAAGGGTGGATTCAACCAAGAGCCGCTCCTCCACGGTCTGAACATCGGATAGCTGATTCAACTTAAGCAATGGCAGGATGTTGGTCACTAAGATGCTAATAAGATGCTTGCCACAAATCGCGAAGAAGATTCAGTTCAGTCTTTGCAGTAATTACTCGTAAGAAATACAGGCAGGAAGTTGGTGGAGTATGGTGGAGTGATGCTTCCATGATGGCATTCACATGGAGTCACTATGTATTTTGCTTACACATCCCGACCTGTTCAAGTCTTTTTCCTAACATGGAATCAGAGTTCGCTACACCATGCTGCACCTTTTCTTTGTGTGGGGAGGGTGGTGGGGTATCCTCACATCTCAGCCAACCACTTCCCAAATGCTATATAGATGAGAACATGTTCGTCCAAATGATTTCTTGGGAGAGATTCTTGCTCCTTGTAGCTTCTTGCTCCTATAGTAGTAAGGCCAGGAGCCCCGTTTGTAGCGTCCAATGCCGGGAGACGAATCTGTCTCCCCGCTCGAATGAGGGGATCATCCCACCTTCTGGGGAGGGGCCGGCCCCCCGGGCCGGGGGGGGCGTCTTTTCAGGTTCGGATTTTGAGCACTTGGGTCTCTTGGCTTCGTTCGCAGAAAACGTCGTTCGCCTGGTGGATGGAAGGATCTTGGCCTGGTGGGCGAAGGAAGGATGAAAGGGGCTTCGAGTTACAAGCGAAAGAAGCATGGTTTCTAGCGGGTCCTTGCAAGGTATTGGCTTTGTTTTATCGGGTGACAAGCGGTGGTGTCCTGACCTGGGTAATTACAGACGTGGAAAAACCTAAAAGAAAGCTTACCAGGGTGGCCTTTTTGTTTCCACTCTCTCATTCTCAGAGTGGTTTCCTGTGGTGGACAAACTCTGTCAGGAAATAGCTTACGATTTGAACGTTAGACCGAAAGAGTTGAGCTGAGGCTGAGGATGGTCACGTTTTGATATGATTTCGCATCAGTCATTTGTCTTCTCAAATGGTTGAGATAGTGTTATATATATATATGGTGAAATATATATATATATATGATTTCGCATCAGTCATTTGTCTTCTCAAATGGTTGAGATAGTTATATATATATATATGGTGAAAAATAAGGCAGGCTAGTAGTGTGATGAGTGTTCCTTGGAGTGTCCTTGACCTTCTATGCACGGTCTTGAAGCGACTGCAAGCATCACTTATTAAGCATCCCGACACACACACACACAAACATAATAAACACAAATACATGTGAGGAGTGATCAGCCTTCTTGCCAGCACCATGTCAGTCGGGGCCAATAGGGTATGCGTGAAGAACCACTTTGGTTGGAGCAATACACGAGTTGGCTCTTTGATTATTTTGATTGACTCCTGCAATTACATAACTATTATATATGTTTATGAGGGGAAGAACACACCAACATGTGCGCACACCCGCTGGAACGGTGAAAGGTACACGTTTGTGTTTGCCACACACTTATGGACCCTCGATCGAAGGATCGGACCCTCATAATATGGAAGGTTTGGTTTGGGGTCTCAAATCCGTAGGATTTGAGGGACCAAAGGATACCAAAGGTAGTTTGTTTTATGGTGTTTCTTTGTTTGGCAGTTTTTGATAGTTTCTTTGGATATGTTTGGATATTGTTTCTGTTTTTTGCTTGTTTTCAGCAAGCCCACATCACTTAGACGTTCCACCACTGTCAGTGAGGTCAAGACCATGGGCTACAAGCCCCTGTTGGCCACCTCCGAATGCAACGTGGCGGTCGACAACATCGCGGAGGGATTAGTCGCGCAGCTTGGAAGAAGAGGATGCCACGGATGCAATGGTTTTCTCCAGCACATTTAGTGCAACATGACCAGCTATAGGTTGGTATTCATTGGTTGGGTAGAATACACACCTTCCTTTTCTTGGAAGGTAGAGGCGAGGAGCATAGCTTCGATTGGATGAGTTGAGCAACTACCAATCAACCATCGACCAACCCGACCCGCATCAACCCCCGTTCCCGATCATCACTCCTTCCCCTCCAAGAATCTCGATATTGAACGATTCAAAGACAGGTAAAAGACCACAGAGCTAACTTTTTTCTCGCAGAACTCCACTGCCCTTTGGGCCAAGCTCGTCGATAGAACTTCCGGAATCATTCTTACGAAGCCCTTTGATCCTCACAACCTAAGGAATGGCATTAAGGTGGTTCGGATCGGCCATGTGGAGAAGGTCAACGCTCGCTTGGAAGAGGCGTAATGAGCAATGAGAACACTGGTGGGCATGTTGCCCTGGGCCATATTGGCATAATATAGGCATGTGGCCATAAGAGGATGGGAATCTCATGGAATCACTATGGAGATCTTGGACCAACATGACAACCAGCAAGCAAGTCCAGGAAGGAGAGTTTTCCAGCCGTCCATGACATCATCAACCGACCAAGAATTCTGCATGCGCGGCGCTGCATGGGCCTTTTTGCCGAGTTGAAATCTCAACCGCCCCAGGCCATCCTGGAGAACTTGGTGCGCCAACAACGTGCGGAGGTGGATCCTCGGGAGGGAGCGAAGAGGCGGAGATGATGGGGGATCGTCAAGGAATGGGGTTTTTGAATGGTGTTGTATGATCCATCGAAGCAGTTTGTTACTGTAGCTGTCTTAGCTCAAATCACCCCAAATCAGTAGCTTGTGTAGAAGGGTTTCCAATATACAGTCTTTGGGATTTGAGCCAGCTAGGACTGATGTCTACAGTAACCAAAGGAAAGGTTTTAGTCCCATCCAGCGAGTGGATCAGGGGCACCCAGTGGTGCATCCCTATCCTCCAAGTTCGGAACCTTTTTGGAACTGCTGGTAGGCGGAGCACGTTTCTTTTTCAGATTCTGTGCCGAAGCAAAGCGAAGAGCACGAAGTTAGCGTCCATTGGTTTTGGCTCCAAAAAGCAACTGGGACCATCCATGGGTTTAGCAAAAAAAGCTGTTTCCACTGGGCGCAATTGAAGCTTTGCGATGTGAACTTGAGCCCCTTGCAAGAACATTTGGCTCCTGGCCAAGTGGCCAGACCGTTTGGATGACTCAAAATCCCATCAAGCATTGTGTACGCATTCATAGTTGAAACAATCTGGTTTCGCTTCGGTTTGGCGCTGCTTGGGTTTCGGCTTTGGTTGTCCAATTTGTATTGTTGAAACATCCATGCACATTTGAACGTTCGTCTAAGACACTTTCATTAAGACAGGCTGTTTGATGCTGTATAAGCACCTGACGGAGACATGCGACACACGGTTTTCAGATCATGTTTTTTGATGCTTTTTGATGCTTTTTGGGGTATTTGGTCGCAACTGAGGAACGCCAAGGCGATTACGAGGATGAAGAGTGGGTGGAGGAGCGCAGATGGAAAGGTCCGGCTGACCAATTGTCAATTTTTGCCAATCCTCAAGCCTCAAGCATCTCAAACACACAGAAAAAGCCAACTCTTTGTCATCAAGGCAATCAACTTAGCTACCAACTTTTGGGACTTCTATTGTATTGATTGTCCTCGTGGCTCTTGACGATGGCCTCGTGGAGTCAACAAAACATGGTAGTCTTTCTACAAGAAAAGGGGGGTTTGGACATTGCATTCTGTGGCGTTCATCCACCCCAGAGAGAGCCAGAGTTTGTGACTGCTTGATACTGAATACCTGGGAACATATTTGACTTACCTCCATCAGACACTTCGGCCCTCCAGCGAACGGAGACCTTCCAGCATCTCACCACCTTTCTCAGACCTTCCAGCATCTTCCAGCAGGATAAACAACCCAATGTGGACCGCTGTCGCTGGAAGCAGCGAACTTCTTCTCCACCACCACCGGCGGGTCCCGCGTTGTTGGGACGTCCTCGACAGGACCCCGGTGAGGAGCCCAGCTGGCAGAGTGCGGACTACAGTACGGAAAAGTGGAAGAAGGAATGGCAAGCCTGGCGGCTGAAGAAGGACCGATTCTTTTGAACACATGGACTGAAGAGATATGGCGATGACGTGAAGAGATGGCAGATGCAGCTCGGCTCGTTGGGTGATTGAGACACATAGATGGAAGAGCGAGCTGGCAGTTTCCGACCAGGTTCGTGCAACGAAGAATCTGAACTAGATGAGCGTCGTGAAAATCGATGAACACTGAACTGCATACAATGAAGATCAGTGACACGCCATTGTTTCGAGCCAAGGAATTAAAGCGACTTGTGGGAAAGCAACATGACACTGAGACCTGACCATGTTGTCCGGTTTCTTTGAGTCAGAACGCCCATCAGTTCAAGTGATCCTGCCGAAACACAGGGCCGGGTCATGCAGGGTCAGAACGTCAGTCGTCCCTGGGCTGGGCAGGATGCTGTCATCAAGAAGCGTGCCTGGGCTCGGAAGCAGTATCAGCGGCTTGGCAGAAACGAAGAGAAGCAAGGCAGAAACGGATCTGGAGGATGGAGGAACTCCCGGTATCCTATTATGGTACTGTATATGATTTGCGATCAGCAAAACAACAAGGAACAGATGCCTGTTTCAAGATGTGTCGTGACCCGTAGCCCTACAGCATGATGATGAAGGATATATCAAAAATGACTGCACGGATAAGCTACTAGGAACAAGTGCATCGCTACTAGGAGCAAGGTGCCTTACTAGTAGTAACAAGAAGCTATTAGAAACAAGTGCCTTACTAGTAAGTAACAATAGTATTTATATAATTAGAATTTAGAATTGTAATTACTAGCAAAGGAATCTACTAGGACCTTTTCGCGCTCACTTCGAGATCAACATGGAAGCTTTTAGGGGTGCAACATGGACCCTATTCCGCCATATTCCGGAAACCCTCGAACCTCTTTGCAAATGGTCTTCCATGGTTTCCCATATTTTCAGGACAGTCCATGGACCAAGGGGTTTTTGGATGTTTTCGGTATAGATTTTCCGACTGGATTATATGAATTATATGGAAGTTGTGGGTTGCACGGAAGATGGTGCCTGGCTACGCGTTAACGTTGCGCCGAAGCCGCCAAAATGAGGCCACAAAATTGTTTTTGGTATCTTTTGGTCAAAGTCCAAGAAACAAGTTGTTGAGAAGGATTGATATTGGCACTGCCAAATGACACTGGAGCCACTCTATAAACCTCCCTGACATAGGCAGATGCCATAGGTTTTGAGAGCTGACTTGTTTTAGATCCGAGCTTCTCATGATGGATCACCCTTGGGCTGTGACTCGGAGTCTCCAGAAACCACCATCACCATCACCATCACCATCGCAAGCAAGATGTGGCAGAGCAGATTCATGCAGATTTCCACGACTTTCTCTCACACAGCCACCACCTTCCGTTCACCGACCTTGAAACACAAGGCTTCTGAAGCAGAAGGTCCTCAATGAGGCCGAGGTGATCTGTGTGACTCGGAGGGAGAAAACTCGGATGGATCGCCGATGAGTCGAGGCCTAAAAGTGGAACTTCGCTGGATGTTTGGGACGATGAGACCAAATACAGTTGACATGCATTGATTTACCGGGTTTCTTTGAGGAATGAACCTTCAACTACAATGTTTGTCTCACCACTACTCAATCCAGGTATCCAACTTTGCTTGGGAAATGAATCTTGGGTCTTAAGGTAGTTTGTTGTTTGACCTCGTGGGCCTTTGAGGAGTTCACACCGGGGCCTAGCAGGGAAGCTAGAAGGTTCGGGTGGTCTATAGACCGCCCCCGGACGGTATTTTCCATCCAATCAGATCAACAAGCACTCGAAATGGGTGCTATGTGGGGCTTGAAGAAGAGATGTTTGGTTGTTGGTTTCCCACGGTCTTTTTTCACCGACCTTCAAAGCCGCCCACACCGCATGCGTTGCCAGAGCCGAGGCAACAACCATCGCTTGCGGATCCGCTGGGGGACCTGGGGATGTTGGTGGAGACTGGTAAGGAGAACTTCTATAGGTTTGCTGATGTTGCTTGGACATGGACCAAACTAGCTATAGCATGCTATAGCTATAGCATTGTAGCATGCCATAGCATGCCGTAGCAGCTAGCTTAGTTTCACACCCTCTTGCAACTAGCATCAACTAGCTGATGCTCCGGCATTCGCCTCTTATATATATTCTTACTGTATATGATATGATCTTTCAAACCAGCTGATGTACAGTATTAGGTCATGCAACAAGTTGTTTGAGCAGTGTTCCATTGCAACAGGCACCCCAGCAGAATGGATGACAAATGGCAACCATTGTGGAACATGGCTGACATTTTGTATTTGGGATTTCAGGGGATGTTGTCCTCAGGCATCCACAGGGTGATTCCAATCGGCAATGATATTGGCTCACTTGTTTTGCCTCCAAAGCAGAGACTGACTGAAACCCGTCCAAAACAACATTCCACTCTCACATCGTTGAACCTGTAAACAGTAAAACATATCTTCACACCGTATATTCTGGCACTTGTTACTGCTAGCTTCTTGTTACTAGTAGTAAGGCACCTGTTACTACTAGCGATGCACCTGACACTAGTAGCATATGTATTCATTCACCTCTCACTTGAGATGGAAAAAGAGGACTCTTCCAGACGAGGAGCTCCCCCCCGTGTGACCCATCGAAACGGCCGGTCGAAGCGGCGAGGGTCAGTTGGCGGGTTTTGACTTCCACGGCGTGTTGATCGACGAGGTGGCACAGGCCACCGAGACCTCCTGCACCTGGCCAGGGAGAAAGAGGAGGCCGAAAGAACGTGGAGAAAGGACGGAAAAGAACCTCATTACATCCAGACTTGGGGTCACTGTAGGCACATTGATACATACACCATTTTGTATCATGACAAGATATGGAGTGTTTGGGGGTGTTTGGGATCAGATTTCCGAGCCAAACCATGGCCGATGTTTGAGTATCTATATATATATATACTGTAGATGCATGCGCGTCATTCTTTCTGCGCGCGCGACATCGCCAGAGCTCGCAAGACAGGTAGGACAGACCTCACTTCGATTTTACAAGCACCTCCCAAGCGCCTTCCAAAACATGGTCAGAAGCATTGGCACGGGTCCTCCCGTGGTCTCCGGCACACGGAGTATCTCAGCGTGAGGTGGAGGACTTATGTATGACCTTCTCACTGATCGGTCGCAGAAGGCACTTTCTTTCGTCCAAGTGGTCCAAGGGCCCTTTTCTCAGCCCGAGATGGAAGACTTATGCAGGCGAGCTGAGAGAATCATCCCTCAAAGAGTGTGAAGCTGATGTAAGATGCAGGTGTTTTGAATGAAGGAAACTGATCTTTGGAACCACAAAGACACCAACTCTGATAGTTCAATTGCTAACTCTGATAGGTTCAATCAGGAACCCAGTTTTCAGAAAGCGGGAAGCTCCAACTAATGGACCACTTGCACGGACCACTGGCAGACCCCAGCCTGGCCACCCAGGTATCGTCCCGGTGGTTTGCCGCGGCGCCCGGCAGCTGGTCTTGTGCAGGGAGCCCTGCAGTCACAGACCACTGAGCACTTCAAAGTTAAATTCATGAGAGGTTAAAACATCAACACCCATCAGATGAAACTTCGTTTTCAGGATTTTCAGAATCATGATCAATCATCATATTATCTATCATCAAAATATCTACACTTGGAGTTTTTGATGGTGTTTGCAGTCCTGGAATTGCAATAAGGATGCTTCGAAGGAAATCCAGCGTGCCCTTCTGATGAAACAATCTTCTTCAATGGCAAACTGAACTGTTTGATCCGCTTCTGGATTCTGCGGTAGCTATTGCGGCTCTTTCTTAGATATTTTTTGCCAGGTTCTTCTGGCTAGCTAGATTCTAGATAGGAGTATGTTTGTGGTCCTGGCAGCCAGGGCAGCAGCTTCGTGGGTCCTGGCTGATCTAAAGGCATCTTTCTACTTCCCGGCTTTGTTGCACCTCATCTTCATTGAGCTTATCATGCTCCCACTTTTTCAGTTTGCTCTCTACAGCTTTCTCCGCGAAAGCATGGTTGAGATGGCTCGTCATTCATATGGTGGAGAGTGCGAGTCTTGTGCCATGGGTCTCAGTCCACAGTCTCGCAAGGCTTTCTACACGGAATTTATGTGGAGTCCCAAGAACCTGGGGTCATTGACAGCAGAGTATGGCACTGCTGGACACATCGGTGTGCACCCAGCAGCTTTGGTTCCAGTGGTGATTCACTACTTCAATTTGGTCATTGTCGCCGGGCTTTGGTTCAGCACAGTAATCATGTTTTGTATGAAGATTCCACTGTCAACACCAATGGGCTCAGGGAGGTATCTGAAGTTCCTGTGGCAAACTCATACCTCGCGCTGGTATCAACGTGTTTGCAAAGTGCTGGAAGTTGGAGCACCTATCAGCATTTTGATTTGTCTTTGTGCTGCATTCTCCTTTCGTGGCCTGCCAGCGGTAAGATGGGTCATAGAGGAACAGCTAGTGGATGGCATCACTGTAGTGGTCAGCATGCGACAGTTCACACGACCAGCGAGACCGCGCTTCAACTTTGAAGTAGAAGACTTTGAACATATTCTGTTCAAGCTCCGTATTATGCACAACAGCAATGCAATAGTGAATGAGCTTCATGGCGAGTTCTGTCAAGCTTTTGCTTCTACTAGAGTGAAAGTGCTCGACGGTCATGAGCATGTGAACCTGTCAATGCTGAAGTTTGCGAAGGAGACGGATTGTGATGACATTGTGAACCTCATTGGTCGTTCCAACAATGAAACCGATTAAACACCAATAGGGTTTTTGTTTTGTACAGACTGGGCCGCTTTGCATCAATTTTTCTAGACTTTTTGTGCTTGGAGACTGATCGGGCACTCTGAAGGGCCAGAAGGCTTTGGCTTTGGCTAATCTGTACCCAGCTCAACGGGTGGATGAACGAACCAGGACAAACCGATCTCCAAAGCGCTCGACGCCAAAGAATCTGATTTGGCCAACTCGGGGGGGGGATCAGCTTTGCCAACCGGTTTTCAGATCGTGGAGTTGCAACCTGACTTCAAGCTTGGTCAAACCTACTAGGTTGAGATTGAAGTTCTCCATGTGTGGCCATGCTCCCTTTGACCGCCCTCACACTCTTTTGAAGCCAAGTTCAACAAAATCCCTCCATTTTCACCGCCAGTCCGGGACGGCTTTTTGGGATGCCCCCCGGCCGCCCCGGCACCTCACCACATCGTTATCAGGTTATCAAGTGATCCTTTGGACCCCCCCAAAGAGGCCGATCATTCACTGAATGCTACCGGCGACCGGAAGGCTCTCCGCACCGTAAGACCGAGGCGGCGATCACTGCCAGCTGCCCCCCTCGGTGATCTCGCGCGAAGCGGAGCTCCGAGGCGGGATGGAACGACGTGAGGAGTTGGTTTGTTTGTCCAGTAGTAAGGCCAGGAGCTACGTTCGTAGCGTCCTTGCTCCTAGTAGCAATGCCCTTTGCTCCTAGTAGCTTCTTGCTCCTTGTAGGAAGAAGGAATATGTCGGACGCGAAGATGAATCAATGATTCCTTCCATTCGAACCAGGTGTGGGGTGGAAGCCTTCTTAAATGTTACTGTAACTTAACATATCTTACTTGTAGCATTATTGATATAGTAATATAACATGATGTAAACATTGCAGTGACCTAGATTCGTTATCATGTGCATTCTGTCTGTCAGGACACGTACACAGATCGCTATCTAGAATCTGCAGACATCTCTTGATCGATGTGGTGTGGAGTATGCATTGTTCACTTTAAATTAATTTGGAGAGTTTCACTCAGGCTGAACGGAATCCGTTTTGATCAATTGAACTTCCTATTGTTCTTCCCAAGTGACTCACATGTCTCTTGAGGAATCGGAGCATCTAGCAGCCTAGCTTCCAACCATCGAAAATACATGTATCTCACCAAAAGTATACCAAACATACAAGTTTGGAGGACATGCCACGCTCTACCAACTTGCTAGTGCCTATAGGCTACCAACTTGCATGTTCTCTTCTCCACGTCCGTTCCCAGCTTAAGGACCCGAGCTGTGCATTCACTTCACAACCGGAGAACCCGCTGGTCAGGCTACACGTTGTCGCTCTACTCACGCCTGACTGGTGCTGGCGTGCTGAGCTAAGGGGGCTGTGATTCATCGAGCAGGTCATGTTCAGGATCATCGACCCATCATTCAATGAACCGGTTTGAAGGGCGGTGGTGAACGTGAACGCGATGAGCACCTCCCAGTCACATGTTTTAGTGCTGGGAAAGCCTGGGACCAGGCTCCGTGGTATCGAAGGTGGCTAGTAGCGATGGTCGGTTCCGGAACATGATCCGACGAACCAGGCGATCGGGTCGGAGCAACTCAAGTGTCGCGACCTTTGTCGAGTGGCCTCGCGTTCTGAAGACTCGGATCCAAAGACGGAGACATTCAATTCTGGCTTCTTGCTACTTTCGTAGCGATGCCCTTTGTTACTAGTAGATCTACGTAGTAGCATTTTGTTCCTATAGTATAGTAATGCCAGGAGCTACTAGTAGCAAATATAATATATATAGTATAATATAATATCATATATATATAATATATAATATATATATATAATATATAGACTTAGAGTCTTTGGACGGTGAGACATGCACCGCACGTCGCCGTTTGGGCTCATGAGATGCGCTCGCTGGATCTCAAACGAGAGGTCCAGCGGAGAGGCTGAACAGGCCTGGCCGAGGCGCCGCACCCGTCGGAAACTGGGCGCCACCCATCGGGTGGGATTGTTTGGTGTCCAATTTCATCAACTTAAATGGACCACGCACCTGGAGTGTGTGTGTGTGTGTTGTGGGCAGTCCCCACAGTCCAATGCCATCCGTCATCCACGGAAGCCACACCGAAGGAGCTTTCGTAAGGGGGAAATAATGGGAAATAACTACAACTGGCTGGGTGGTTCCAGCGTCGCTGTTAATGTCGTTAGTTAGTGCTTTAGACCTTGCAAGAGAATACAAGAGATGTTATTTATCAGAAGAGATTCACGCATTAACTGCTGCTCAAACAACGAATCCTCAGCATGCGTGGGCCTGCTATTTTCTATAGCAGTTTGAGGAACTTGGTCTGTTGCAACCGCAACTTGAGCGGGGATCTGAGTTGGAAGAGGCTTCTTCATGGCTTCAGGTTTATGTAGTTTTGTCCAGTCCATTCAGAGTTTCCTGGTTTCTGGGCGAGATTTAGAGACCATCTAAGAGGTCTCAGCCTTACTTCCTTGATAGGATAATGGTTCCTGATCACAATATTTCCTCGGCAATCTCTTCGATACCACGATCTTACTTCGTAAAGTGGAAGGAGCACTAGAGCCAACCAGGAGTCTGGACGTGAACGAAACCGTCAACAACCTGTGAGAGAAAGAGAGAGAGAGAGAGAAACAACGAGAAACAAAGTTCCTGTTGTTGATCCATCAGGGTCAAGAAGGAAAGGGCCGTGATGTTTTCTTTTTGTGAATTGGAATCAATTGTGGCTATATAATGCTATTAAACATGTTTGGCAACTTGGCAACCTATCTTGACAGAGGATACACCCACACCTAATGAGGACCCGCCTACTCTTGGTCCACTTTGCCCCTCAAAGCCTTTGAGAATTTGCTCCGCTTTTACCTGCCGGGTGGCCACCCCAGGAGGCCCTCGATTTTGATGAGAACGTCCTTGAGCAACATGCGATCATCAGTGAGTAGCATGTCCCTGGGCTGGACAGCTGGACAGAGCAGCCGGACCTCTTTTGAGGGTTGGATTCAATTAGTGCAACCGAGTCCAAAAGCCAATGAATGATGGAAATACGACCCTCCAATCGAAAGGTATTGATCATATTGATCGCTTGTCCTGGAATCTGTTGCCAAGTCTTTGGGGACCGGAGAAGCACAGATCCGGAGGTGACCGGTGAGGACATGTTTCAGCAGTCCACAGGACGACCTCTCACTAATCCGTCCAACCACTGGATACTTTGTGCACGCTGGATTCACTGGGTCAGTGGTACTTCTCAGACTTCTTTGCGACTCCCTGAACGCCGACTCCGCCGGCGTTCATGTCCATCCAAAAACGAGTCGAAGATAGACAGCGACCCAGGCTTTGGGACGAGAGCCGCGACGAACGCCGGCGCTTGGAGAAGTCAAGCTCAGGGAATTTACGAGGAGCATGATGGGCGACATGTTTTTGCCAGATGGCGAGGCGGTCTACAAAATGCAACTGTATTTTGCGGTCTAGTTTTCCTTGTAGTTCAGTAACCGTAACAGCTAGTAGCCATGTATAGCCATGTTCATGTATGCGCATGTTTTTTGTCCTGGAAGAAGACACATGCCATGGGCACCCCACAGAAACAGACGGAGAAATGCTCAGTGCTTCACATTGATGCTATTCCTTCTTAAGTCTGTCCGAAAGCTACTTGCATTATCTAGGAATGTTGGTCCTTACATACAGTCTCTTGGATCTTTAGAGTGTCAAAGCTTTGGGTGCATCCCGGGGGTGTCACTTTCTGAACCGTTTGGTCCAACGGCTTTGGTCACTGCGGTGTACCGAACTGGAGGAAGTATGCAGAGCAAGGCCAGTGTCGGCACTGTCGGCACTGTGGGCACTGTGGCCACCGTCGCCACTCAAGTAGCTTGTCAATTGTGGCAGAGGTCAAAACCAAACACTTTTCACTCCCCAGCCGCCTGCACCCACCAGGTGAATCTGCATTGAACACCTTAATTTATATAAGTTAATATACCAGCACGACCCAAAGGGATCCAAAGGGTGGTTTGTAAACCCCCCCGAAGATGTATTTTCCATCTAATAACACCCCTTTTGGGTGGTGCTGGTATATAATGTTTTGACAGTGAAGCAAATACGGATTCCGAGGAAATACGCATTACGCTTGCGATGGGTCACGTAATGACATGGGCTTTTTGGCCAAGGGAATCGGTTTCATTTCTGGGTGAACGTATAGTATAGGGGTGGATTTGGTGGAGAGGCTGTAACGTCTCAAAGCCCCAGCCTTGCATCGCACGGACTTTGCTCCCGTACTTTTGGGGTTTTGAGATTTTGGGCTCCCCCGAGAGTTTCAGCCACTGTTTGAGCACATATTGTGAGGAAGTGGATATCCTTGACAAAAAACATGGGCAGGTAAGTCAAACGGTAAGTTTGACTTCTTAAGGCATGTGTCCTTTAAGTGCTGGCGACTTTGGTTTTGCTTTTCCAGTAGGTGTTGTTGGTGGTTTTTATTTCTTTCCGTGGCATTTTGCAGGATTAGCTGCTTAGCTGCTTAGGGGTGTTTTTCTTTCAGTGTCAAGTGCTCCTCCAGCATGCTGCATGCCAGAAAACCTCCAGATTGAATCATTAGCCAATCCAAAGCATTCTATAGATTCGACTTGCCACCCGCCGGGCGCGGGCACAACCATGGTGATCCGGGTCTCACGCGCCCAGTTCCAAACCCAGATCACTCCATATGTGCACATCTTTGCGTATCAGTTGGGGTTCACTGGGGTGGCATATAGAAGCCGTCCCATGTAGATGGTCTTTGGGGAGATCAGCGAACGACTCAGGCCACCACGGATACGATCGACTCCGTGAGGCGGAGTTCTGCACTGGCCCGCCATGCACAGTTAGAGCAGTGGTTGCAGGCGACGCGCCCCGCGTTTCGTGCGGTGCTCGGAGATCGTTGGTGGGTTGGTCGTTTGGAGCGGGTCTAAGTCAACGAAGAACACCCGGGTCGTGTGCGGCTTGAGAAAGAGAGTGGTTCACGTGGTCCGAAGACAGGAGTTTCCAGTTTCGAGATGGGACATGGTGTGGAGATTGAACACAAGCAAGCGACCTTGGGTGAAGGAGGCCGGGAGGCCGGGAGTCAGTGAGGCTGACTGACATCACCGACCATGTTTCAAGTGGGCAACCTGCAAGTGGGCTTTTTTGGGGGATTGGTTTCCCATGTTTCGCCAGTTAACATGAACAGGTAGAAAAAGGTTTAACCTCATGTATTTTCCAGGAACACTGAGGGAGTAAGATTGCATGGAGTTGGATACTGTGGATGAAGCAGCACACAGCTGCCAGCCCCAAACACAACTAATGGGACTGACTTAAATAATACTACATTCATTCGGGATCCCTGGGATGGTTTCCGTGAGAGTGTTTGGGAGTTGTTCTAGAAGTTTGGCTTTAGTTTGGTGACAGTGTCACTGACAGGTGCTGCTTTTTAGGTCTCTTCACAGGGCTCCGGCTCCGGGAAGTCTTAGCATTGGCATATGGCCTCGTCGCATATGGCCTCGTTGAATTCCCTGTGCCAAGCGCAGTGGATATGTCGGATATGTGTTGAAAGTTCCGGGTTGAAGAAATCTGATTTCGCAACCATTGTGAATTGGATGGTCGGTTTACTGTCGGAGGACCCGAATACATACCATTGACCATGATTATTTCTGGGGAAGATCGCTGTGTCTTACGTAACAGCGGAGACCTGTGTCTTGCGACCAACGAGACCTGCATCGCAGGAGCAGAAGTTCCCAGACCTGAATCAGCCCAGACGGAGCTCGTGGTTTTCCAGGGATGCTCTGATTCAAATCTAAAAGACAGGGCCATTGCCCCGTCCCAATTAATCATGTTTGATATGTTACTTGCATACGTAATACACAACATATAGTTGTTTGGGGTCTACAGGCTTTTGATCCTCCTTTCCGTAATCCACTACAGCATACTGCTAGGTTCTTTTGTTTGGATTGAGACGGCTGCAGGTATTTCCTGGAGCAGTTTCTAAAACAAGAAACAGCAGTGCTTTTCATCGTGTCAAGCAGAAGTGATTTGATTTGTTCCTTTGGCCGCATGATCAGCTTCGGCCCAGTCGGACTTTTCAGGATTGCATGATCAGCTTCGGCCCAGTCGGACTTTTCAGGATTTCGATCCACTTTTGCGCTGAACATTCAAAGACAAGTGGTATACCCTGCATTCATCCTGTATACTAATTCATGGTGTGCTGTACGCTATCTTGTGTGTCTCAACCTGTGCGGTCGACCTGTTTTCCTTCCAAAAGGTTGCGACTGAACACCGAGGAAGAGACCCTTTATCCGATCCACCTTGCTGCAAAGCGTGGGGATCAACACATTGTGACTCTTGGAATTCAGGGAGGTCACCAGTGACCTGGGCCCCAGGCACGGGCGGCGCAGAGACGTTCGCACGCCTGTGGACCAAAGGGATCCAAAGACGGTTTGTATGACTCTGGCAGATAGAGCTAGGTGTCTCATGATGCCATAGGCATAGGTGCTGATGCGGGACCAATGGGATTCAGGACCACCAGCGGGGTTCCACCAGAGTTTCTTGTTTTCAATTGGAGCAACCAGAGGTGTTCCAGCTGCAATCTTACACATCCTTACACAGGATTGTTACAGAAACCAATTTGCTGACCTTGGGTCAAACTTGGGATCCCTGCCACTTTCTAACACCCAATGTCACCATCAGAGTATGTTCCGAATGTCCCAGTCACATCCTCCACTGGACTTAACTAACCTATATCCTCAGCCGCTGTTTGGACTGAGTTCACTAGAGACCTTGTTTTGGACCGCGAAACACACCGCGGGTCCGTTCGTGAGTTCTAACGTGAGTCCGTGAGTCTGAGGATGCTTTTGCTGGCCGCCGGTGTGGACCGGTGCCAACGCACGTCTCGGGGGCGTTTGGCGTTGGAGTTAGCCAAGGAGGCTGACAAGGAGAGGATGGGAAGGCCACTCCCACCCATCTGGAGCGTTGAACATGAAGAAAAACATCCAGGCTACGGAAGATTGGCCAACATGTTGAAAAGGGGTCAATGGTAGTAGGCATATACAAGCCATACGTTGATGGCTTATCATGGTTTGGGTGAAGATAGTGGCTGTATGTGATTGTGGAATATCAGCGAATGTCAGGCATGGAAAAAGCAACCTTCCGTGGCTTTTGAAGATCCAGTCGTGGAAATTAAGGGGAGTGGCAAGACTTAGGTTTCTTCCAGATCGGTGAGAAACCTGGAGTTCCATAAGAAATCAAAAGCGCTCAGACTGCCCAAACACAAATGATGAACACATTATGGCCTTAGCAGCTATAGGTAAAGAAGAAAGTCGATGACCAGGTTTGGGTAGGATGTGTCTTCTAAATATGTATTTTCACGTTCGATGCCCTTATGGTTGGGTGTCACTACCCTGAAAAACTGGATTTGGAGCGGTGTCCTTCTTGTTGCCTGTGCAAACTTCAACTTGTTGATGTAGCCTTGTTGAAGGTCTCTTGGAGAGAAGGAATCCTTGCGCCTTGATGTTTCTGTTGGCCACGTTTCGGTGTTGGAATGTTCCACTGGAAACGGTCCGGAGGAAAGATTTCTCTTTGGATTTTTTGTTTGAGGCCCTTTTGTGGTGATGGGTCACCAAGAACCACGGTCGAGGGGAGCCCTTCTAGGAACCAATGTTTAAATTACCTGTGACCTGGTCAAGGTTTCCTGGTTTGCCCGTGACTTTGGGTCTTTGCCATCCTTTGCTCCCCTAATTGCGCGGCCAGAGTAGGGATGTTTTGTCGCGGAGGCGCTCGACAGGACAGAAGTCGTCAATAAGGAGTTTGGGGTGGATCTAGAGATGTCAAAGAAATGATCATCAAACCCATATTCATATCATAATATGTCAACTAGAACCCTCTTCTGTCACCTCTGTCCTCACACCGCTCAGTCCCTCTCAAGGAGGGCTCGCACGCTGAAATTGTGGAGCTGCTGCGGAAAACCTCTGTTTGCTCCACGTCAGCATCAATGAGCTCCACCTCTTTGAGGTCCTCCGATCACTCCACAGTAGATCCATCGCAGCGCTCGAGTACAGATCGTGAGTTGCTTCTTGGGCGAGCATCGCGAGCGCCGCCGCGTGAGCAGGACCCCGTGAGCAGGAACCCCTTGGCAGTGTTTTTTCCAGTTACTTGTATTTTCATCCAACACAGTCCAAAGCATATAGAAATAGTAAACACTGCTGATTTGCAATGATTTGCAGGTCTTTTTAGGGAGATTCAATAGGTCTCCTTGGTTCTTGGAAAAGAGGGGTTGACCATTTCTTCCTTTTCCAGTTTCCGAAAAGCATGTTCACATCTCCTTCCGAAGAGTCTTTTGATCTATCGATGGGACTGGTGTCAATCTGCAGACGGTCAGAATTTCTCAGTGTTCAATCACAGTCCCCTGAACGATGGACCACTGATGTCCGCTTCCAGTCCACACAAGCCTCCATCCACTCGCACACCAAAACATTGAATTCATGACAAATCCTTGAGTGGCATCTCCTCCCTAGGGCTCCAAGTGCCTCCTCAGAAGGCAGGACTGGACCCTCCTGGCACCCACCCCAGTCCCACCTTCTGAGAAGGTACGACTGGAGCCCTAGCAGCCCTAGGGCTTGTTTCTTCCCACCAACGTCATCACACTCTCGTCACCGTTGACCGAGGGCCGCAGCACCAACGGGGGAGGAGACGGCGTTTTTCGGCTCCACGGGGGAGGCGACGGTGAAGTCTTTGGAAGCTTTGTTGCAGGAACCTGTGACCTGGTTTTGCAGATCGAGTGATTTTGGATTTCCCCATGGGTAAATCATTGTAAATACATGTACATCCCCTTCTGGGGAATACTTTTCGATTACTGCGTTGTGTTCTTTTTCATGTGTTCCCTGAAGCAAATCCAAGGTGAGGATTATTGACCTGTGAGTGGAAACAGATGGGACAGATCACATGTCATGTGCCTGCGTGGCGCCATTGGCTTCTGTTAACCACAGGGCCAGTCATGATTGAGTCACGACACGTCCCTGTGGTCCTACCCAACAAGCGCATCATCCTGTGAAACTGGGGACGGCCCTGATACTTGATGCTGGAAGTGGGCAGATGTTTGTCTTTCCCTGGAAACGAAGAACACCCAAACCTTTGGGGGAGTCTTAATGCGTTTGTTTGTTTTGTGATCACAATTGATCACATGATTCACACGGATCATCAAGTTCATGCACCTCCAGGTGGGTTGAGGGTTGTTCAGATCGAAGGACGAAACACTCGAATTCGCAGTCACGTTGAAATCCGGGACCGGGAGATCCTTTTTCTCGCCCCGACCCTCACCTGGGTAGACTGGTCGATTTTCAGGAACCGAACCCAGAGAGCCAGAGAGCCAGAGTCGGAACGCCGAAGGTGTCGGTCTGCCTATTTGAGCTACACACCCATGTATACAGTTTCTGCCAGACAGGCCGGACTGCATGACTGTGTTCTGTTCCCACAGAATTTTTTGTGTTTGCAGAAGTTTCGCATCCGACAGACAGCGGAACGTTTGACACAAGCAGTACATGCCAATAGATTCCCATAGACTTTCCTGCACTCTTTACTTTTGCTGGAGGCCGGAGAGGAACTCTAAGGACATGAATGAATGTATATAACTTGATTTAGCTCGAGGATCAACTGCTGATTAAGTTACCACACTTGCAGGAAATCTACGCTGTACTTCGTCTCTGCTTTGCAAAGCAAAGATTCGGAGATATTTGGAGATTTTATAGCCAGCTTCAACAGAAGACGCTCCTCTCAAATCATAGCGCGCAACTGGCAGGACAGAGATGTTGTCACGACGAATCCCACATCACCTAATACCATTATAAGAAAAGCGGTAGGTTTGTCTCAGTCTCAGGCTTGTAATGATTGCTTTCCCTTTGCAGATTGGCCATGTATCGCATGTTTGCCTCTCTTTTAGGTTTGGGGCGAACAAATGTAGGCATCTACTCCAGTCCCATGGGGCGTCCCATGGGGCGTCCGTGTTTGGCCGCCACACCCCGTGACACCGAAGCACAGACGAGTGCAGTCAGGGCATGTGGAGCCACCCGGACGGACGCGCCAGGCCATTTGAGACCGTTTGGTCCTTCCCAATCGTGTTTTGAAACCGTTTGGGAGGGGCCGTACGGCGGTGGTGCTCCAAGGGCATTTCTATACTTGTCACTTCAATCTAAGCACGATTCAGACTGGATTCACACGATTCACACGATTCAGGATCATCAAGGATCTCAGTTACGATTCAGTTTTCCGAAGATGCCCAAGCTCTGCTCCTTCGCGCACGTGTCACAACGTTCGTTCGACACGCCTCTTGCGGTGTCGCCGTCTCGGCCCGTGTCCGGCCCGGGAGGTCACCTGCATCGACGGAGTCAACGCTGTTGGTGGTTGGTGGTCCAGGAGGTGTGGTCGCATGTGGTCGCTAGTCCTGCATTTGGTAGAAGCAGGCCTCCGCCTCCAAACTGGTTTGGCAAGCCTTCCCAAGATGGGTCCGAAGCATCCCTTTGTTGACATATCCTGGAAGCTGGAGCTCTTCCGGGCACGACTCGGGTCTTGGTCGATGGAGCTGTCTTCAAGACCATGCGTAGCGCCTGCGGTGCAAAAGGACCGCAGCGGTCGGCAGGGGTCGGCAGGGGTGGTGAGTGTTTTGACCTTCCTCTCCATCCCGGATTTTGTCCAGGTCTAAACTGGGGTCCATTTTCCGGTTTGGCATGGACGGATCTGGAAGGGGTAGATTCATTTGTTTGGCTGAAGCGTGGCTGAACAGGGATTCAGAACCCAACAGCTTTGGAACTGCTGCGCCCGGCGCCCTATAGATTATGATTATGATCCTCAATTAGGTCAACATGACCTCACATCATTCATGTTTGCAAGCGCCATTAGCATCCCACTCACAAAGAGTTTTCCACATCCATGTCCCGGACACTCCATGTATGCCATAATTTGCCTACATCGGGGTGGTTTGGGGGTGTTCGGGTGTTAGTGAGTCTGAGTGTAAGTAGCTTCTGCATCCATCTCTTTGGCCGTTTCGATGAGATGTCGATGCCGGTCGAGGTGCCCTACTGCTTCCTGGACACACAGTACCGTGCACATCCCATGCTAATGGCCGCTCGAATTGAAGGCCCTTGCGGCCATTGGGTGCAGGTGCAGTTTTGCTTGGCCTGGAGGTATTGGTTTCTGAGCTCTTATGAGTTCCATTGGCTTCTGAGGGGCTGTGGCGGTTTGGGTCCGCGCCTGCGGAGATTAATTGTCCTGAAAAGGAACTTCATCCACTTTTACTTGTTCATCGATCCCTATGATGAGTCAAAGGCCAAGATATGGTTGATGTTCTTCAACCTCGGGCCTCTTTGGATCATACCTTTCATCATGCGGAGTGGTGCCGAGGAATTTAGCGCATCCTGCATCTACCAGGGGCGATTGAAGTTGGGAAGCTCAGGGGCCCAGCGGGTGGACCTTCTAGCTCCGGAGTCGCTTGAAAAGGAATGGACAAACAATTAGAGAGGACAGCTTGATTGATTGCAGGGGTGATCAGGGCCCAGCTAAAGGCCCAGTCAGACTGTCAGGATCGAAAGTCCACCCTGGAGATGGAAAGGAGTCCCTTCCAAAAAAGGGGATAAGAACCTGCCAGAGCTGTCCGGCACTTGAGCTGTCCGGCTTGGATCTTCACTTCATCGACCCCATCCTTGCATGCAGCAACGAGTCTCCTCATCTCCACAAGGACTCATGGCGCCATGTCCATGTCACACCATCACCCCCCGATCCGGTCATCTCATTCCTATGGGTCGCTTGAGGGCGCCCGTTCCGGTCACTTCGCTCGGTCGATGCTCAGAGCCCCTGAAGTCTCGCGCTCATCGCGGCGCTCAGAGAGCCTCAGGAATGGTGTGGATGCCTCGAAACGTCCCCGCGTCAAGGGCTTGCCCTGGCCAGGCCCAGAATGTGCCTTGGTCATTCGACCATTCGACCATGGAGGAGTCACCGAGGTCATGACTCCCCGGTTTTGCCTTTTCCTGGTCAAATCATCCAATCCTAAAGGGAAGAAATGGGAAGAATTCAAAACTTGGCTGGTTGATTGGTTGCGGTTGGTACTCTTGCATATCACTGTGGCCGGATTTTCGGGCTGCGCGGCGCTGAATGGTGTAGTGAATAAGAATTCTTGGGTTGTGTCACCAAGTTCAGTCTCGACAAAAGACAATGTGACATTAATTTTCCGAACATTTTCCTGCAAGCAGTCTCTTTGAGCGTTTACAAGGGACATTCCATGTACAGCCATCCTTTCCTTCCATCCATTTCAAGTCATCCCTTCGAACATGGTGATGCATGTTTCGATCGGTTCCGGCATGTTCCTCACGTTCCCAGATCCAATCCACGTCACCCGGGTCCGTCGAGACCGCGACAAGACAAGCGAGGTCCTGCCATGTTCGTGGAGAGCAACGTGGAGGAGCAGAAAACGATGAGCGAACCACCATCCGTCGTTTCAGCAGCGATGAATACCGAGATTTGGCATTTTGACCATGAACGGAGATTCAGATAAATGATAAAGTCAACTACCAGCTGCTTCCAAGGGGTCAGCAATGGACAACCCCCACCCTGCTTCTATAGGTCTAAATTGGCCCGATAGGAAGCGCTATATATAGGCTATAGGCTTGTACGGCCTGGGCATGCTCCAATTTGGCGACCTTTTCCACCTTCAAAGTGACCGAACGAAGTAGATCCCAGGATTTTCAGTCGCTTCTATCGTCCTTGAAGAGGTCACTGGATTCCGCCTCGGACCTGTGCGATCTGGTTCGCAGCTCTCGTCGTAGGAACATTTGGAGGGCGAGTCGAAGGCCAACTTCGCAGAGGCCTTGAAGGTCAAGGAGCGCCGCAGGTGTCGACGGCACCACGGGGGAAAGACCGAAAATAGACATGCACAGTCATGCACAAAGGGACCGTTGTTCATTTCTTTCCGCGTGCAAGACGGTGGTGGTTTTGATATGTGTTGATAGTTGAGGTGTTTGAAGGATCAGGCACTTCCCTATACTCCAGAGCTCCAATGAGTTGTTGCGTGTTTTGCCCCACAGGAATCCATAGATTTCCATGTGTATTTCTCTCTCTCTCTCTCTTTGTCGTTTTTCCTTCTCAACTCCCAGAATCCGCTCTTCATCCGCGGAATCCCCCGGGTTCGACGACCGACCTTGAAGGACTGGGAAGATCGGTTGACACCTCGGTTTGGGTGGAACTGCTGTGGATTTCATGATCTTGAACAAGAACCACCCCCCCAGAATTCTGTGTTGTTTTTTCTTTGGGGGAACAGTCAATTTGCCACACAGATGTCACAATGCACTCTCACAATGTCCTCCCAGCATTTGCAGAATTTGTGATCTCCATCCTTCTCTCGCCAAAGAAAAGCGCTCAAATTGAAGCAAAAAGACCATCGAAGAACCGTTTGGCGTTTTCACGGCGGGTGTAGCACCGAAACCGTCTGCAGGACCTGGTGAAGGGTCTCCTGGAAGCTGGTTCCGTCGACTTACAGGACATTGGCGCTCCTCGAGTTGCATCGGGGGTTGGGGGGTTGAAGCGGACGCCACCGTTTTGGATGGCCTGTGGTGTTTTCTTTTTAAGCTCCATGCAGTATGTGTGTATAGATGCTTGGTGAAATCAGCCAAGTACTCGTATGTCCTTGTTCTGTGCATGTGATATTCAACCAAACATTTCTGGTGTATCCCTACACGAAGTGGGTGACCAGGACATCCAGGGACCAGTTCCATTGGTTCGGACCGGATGTTTTCGGAGAACTGCTCTTGTGCAGCAGACCTTTGGAGCACCAAAAGGCCCCACCCCCTGCCCAGATACTGTTCCGGCTCAATTGAATCAAGAATATCCAACAAATGTCCAAACTTCTGAGCACATGAAAGCAGATGAGACCATGGCACCCTTGTCACAACTGTGTGCAGCTTGCATCATAATTCAGCTTGCAGATTACCCGGTTTGATGTTGGGACTGTTCACCGTTCACTGTTCACTCGCCAAAATAGAAATTGTGTTCATGTATATAGCCGCAACATGCCGCAACCATTTCTCCGACAAAATTGAAGGACACAGGACATTACATTCACTCTCTCTCTCTCTCTCTTTGTCTATATATACAAATCAAAGAGGGTAGGTACATAAAACTCATCGTAGTCTTTGGGATGTCCTCTCCAGAATGTTTGGGAGATCGGAGATCACCCAAAGACGCAAGATTTGCACCATCCTTCAGGTGGTGACGCCCTACAAGGGCCAAGTGCGGGTGTTGCGGAAGTTGATTCACCTGCAGAACAGCTTGGGCGTCCCAAAGGCAGGGTTTGGCAGACTTTTGTGCGTCGGACAGGGGGGCACCCGATTGTGGGCCAAGTTCCCCCAGTTGACTCTCAACGATGGCTGTGGGTCAAATGCCATAGGCCATCTTGGCAATCCCCAAAATCAACGGATCAAATTTATAAGTTTGGTAAATTTAGGTCGACCTGCACCAAAGCTTCAAGATGCTTCAAGTATTTCAGGGACTAAAGCTTCAAGCTTCTCAGGTATCACCCTCTCAGGTTTCACCCGAACAGTTAGGATGCTCTATTTCTTTTGGAGACCAACGTCGAACGACAACGTGATTGACGCAAGACCGTTTTGGAGGGACAACGGCGGCGCCATGGTTTTCTCCACTGAAAACACTGAAATCCAACAGATGGAACAACGGTGGCCGGCCTCGGATTTTCCAGGGAATGGGGTCCGTGGTGAGGGAAGCTCGCCATGCTGATGGGCATTCACCGCCCTCACCCCGAGGAGGTGGTCACGAACTTGGAGATTGCCTCAGTGGACAACTTCCAAGGACGAGAGACTTGGACTGAGCAGAAAAAACCACGTGCTCGCGCACCAACCAACCGCAAACATTCCATGGGACTGCCATAGGACTGCCGCCCCATTGACCGCCCAAACCACCCAAATGTAGGCACATTATGGCATATATTGGAGTGTCTGGGAAAAGGTTGATGGACCCCCCAACTCTACACTACACATCCCATCCATAGTAAATCAATGTAAATCACATCCCTAGGCATGCCTTGGATTGGACAGGTACGTCGATGACCCAGCTCTGCAGGAGGCGCACATGCGCGTTTCCTCTCTGGGACTATAAACAAATTATCGAAGAGCGTGGACATGGCTCATGGTCAGGGTCGAGATCCATTTGGCAAGACCTGTGTACGACACGCCGACGTGGATGTGGATGGACATGCACCAGCCTGGGAGGAAACAGCTTCGAACAATCCTGGATTCTCGTGGATGAGAAGGCACAGGTACAGCAGTGACCTTGTCTCATGTTCTTTTCGGCAAGCCATGGCCAGGCCTGTCAGGCTGCAAGATTTGCTAAGAGCTTTTCCTTCATTGAAAGCTCGGACACTGAAAGCTCATTGAAAGCAGTTCCTTCATTTTTTTCAATCTGCAAGCCATGGCCAGCTTTACTCGGACAAGACTTATCCGACCAATCCCCGAAGGGTCCAGCAGGGTCCTGGCCCTTTCTGGACGCCCGGGCCGTGGCCCTGCCGTTCGGAGCATTGTCAGGTTTCGTACGAACTCACCTCCGTCAGGGATCATGTATTATATATTATAATATTATAGTCATGTCATGTGGACATGTCGACTGTGGATGAATAGATTGAATAGAGTCCATGAAATTACCCTATGAAAGGGTTTTGCAATTCAAATGGGTGTGTTTGCATTATATAATGACAGTTTGCAATGTCTACAACTTACACACGTGGTGGAAAAGAAAACCAAACATATATGGCGTCTTTATGAAACTCCCCCGCACCCCTCAGTGGCACCTGACATAGGGCGCAAACACGTCAACTCTCAGTTTGGACCAAGCCTTTTTCACCTGTTGAGCCGAAACGCTTTCCGTGACCCGAAACACTTTCCGTGCTGAAAGACACGGAGAAACATGAGGAAAAGGAGGTCATCATCTTCTCCGCGGTGCGATGCAATTCCTGGGGCCCCTGGGCACCGAACCAGTAGCGGACGTCATCGGAGGAGATAGACCCAGCGGTGTAGGTGATCGGTGTTGTTTCACGTTTTGTTGCATTGCTTTCTCCAAAAGTCATGTACAGAGTATTACTGGAAAGACTTCTGTAAGCATTATACAGCCACGTGAAAAGGAGATCACTAAGGGATCCAGAAGGTTTTGTCACGGTGAGGAGCTTTCTTACACAATCCTTCCAGTCTTCTACTTTTGGAGATTAGGCTCTAGACACATCCCTTGAATGTTTAAAAGACCGATCCTGGATGATCGGAGTTCCGACATTGACGGTATCCAACTGCGAAGACTGGGTGACGGGTGGACTGATGGGAGATGATTTTGGTGATTTTGCAAGTGCCCTTTTGCCCTTGTCGGTGGCTGATCCACATCCAACCATGGAACTGTGGTGGCCACCAAGAAATACATGACTCAATAGGCGAGACATAGACTGAGACCATTCTTTATTGGGCGATTCATTGACTAAAAATCCCATGTCCTCATTGTTCTTCCTATACCACCAACACTTCCAAACACGGCCTGAAGCCCATGTTGGACCAGGCCATCTCTTCCTCAGGCAGTGTTGGCTTCTTGAAGGATTGGCGCCGCCTAAATGTGATGATTACACGCGCAAGGAGGGCCTTGGTGGTGGTAGGCGCGCCACTTTTGACGCATTCCCGCTTGGCTGGTGGTGATGTTGTTTCTCGGGCTGGTTGTAAAGGTTGCCGGGATGGGTGTGCTGAAAGCAGACTTTTGATTTGTCATCATTCAAAGAGGCCTTTGTGAAGCGGGTGCCCAAAGGAAGCATTCTTCGCAGACACTTTGCACCTCTCACACCTATACAATAACACACGAGGCCGCAGGGCCGTAGAGGTCAGTATGCCTTGGTTCTTGCATTTTCGACTGCCTTTCGGGCACCTAGTACTACCTAGACAATGTGGTGAGTATGACCTCGGGAGTCAGACCCACACATATACAATTATATAACAATATAATATATATATATAAACGATTCTATAGACAAAATGTATCATGCAGAATTGTAGGTGGTTGTGTGTGTGTGAGGTCGCGGTTTCTTCTCCGTAGCTCTGTAGATTCGGAATGGAAGACTCTCAGAAACAGGGTGTTCTTTCCCCCATCTTTCCCCCGCATGGCTCGTCGTGCTTCACAATGGGAACAGTGCGGTGTAGGCAACGCGATGACTCTTTGCAAGGATGATCACTGGATGCCCGGCCTGATCAGCATGTCCAGAGCCTGTCAAACACTTTTGTGTTGCTTCCAGCTCCCCTCTAAACACTCGTCCGAGACTCATGCAAGAGTCACTTTGCATAAACAAGGCCGCCAAGTTTCCTATGGAGCGCCCTTCCCAGCGCGGGAAGAGACTTGTTTGGTCGCTTCCACAATGATTGTCACTTGTGAAACAGTTGTTGATGAATGCCGTCCACCGCTTTTGATGCCAACCATTGGCTTGTTTGGTCGCTTGTCCGCCGTCAGCCGATTTGAATCCACCACACAGGCACCATCCAATGCAGTACACAATTACTGTAAAACACCGGAGGTTTCCTGATGTCGTACCCAAACCTGTGTTAGTAAGCCTCCAAAACTTCCGGCAGAGTTTACAGCACCTCCCGAGACCTTTGCGCAAGGCAAGCGGCAAGTAAAGCCTACACTCCCTTGAACTAACATGGAAGTTAAAGGGCCTGGCCCTTTCAAAGACCGTTTTCCTCTACAAACAGGGTGTTCCAGGATAATATTTTTTCACTGTGCTTTGGGTGTTGAGCATATGTATATGCCCGTGAGCAGCCGAGGAGAAAGTGGCTGCAGTGTACCGAGAAACAGGGTGGCGCTGTGGAAGGGACTGCAGCTCGGGCTGCTTTGAGTGTTTAGTTGAATCATGCTGTATCTCGTAGGCAGATACATTATACAGGTACTCTCTTGATCCAAGAAACATCAAGAAACATCATGAAGACGTGTGATGAACACCGCCTGTTTCTCCGTTCTTTCGTTTTCTCGTCGAGGGACCGGAGCTTCCAGGTGCGATGAACACCGTCTTGGTGATGAATTCGTATTATATCGTATTATACATCTACCGCAGAGCAAGAACGAAGATCGAAAAGAAGTGTTCGTGAAAGCAAACATCCCAAAACACTTATATGGTGATGTTGATTGTATGTGCACATCAGTTCATGACTGTTGGCAAAAGTGTTTGCTGAGGTGAAGAAGGCCATGGAGGAAGGGGAGAATGGCGAAGGCAGGGAGAAGCCGATACGGGGAGGGGCCAAGCAACTGTATCGGGATACCAGCACCCTCCAAGAAGTCTCCTGGTAGAGGCTATTGAAGGCACACAGCCTGAAAGTTGCGGGCGGCTGTGGTCTGTTTTGAGGGTGGTGTGGGCAGATGGCATTGGATTCCGGACACCGAGTGGACCGAGTGGAACTCATCGACTTCACCTCCGACCGGACCCGCATGGACCCGCTCCTTCAGTGGACTCGATCCTTCTGGAGGAGGGAGGGAGGTCCAACGTCCGTGGAGTGGGTTGTTGGGGGCGGGTTTGCCATCGTCTGCGGGGATGGCAGGGTGCAGAAAGGGTTGCCAAAAAGGGCGATCGACTGACTTTGATGATATCCAAAGAGTTGGGTGAGTCTCCCAAAGAGACCGCCATTGCCATTGCCATGATTGTTTCAAGTGGGACACTTGCCTTTCATCGTGATGCTTCGTGGTGGAGCACTCTCCAAGAGGTGGTTCCTGTGGTTCCTGGCGGCATCCAGACGAGGCATCCAGCCATGTGAGTTCGTGGAGACTGGGAAGGAGCTTTTCCCGGCGATGAGCTCCAGCAGTTCTAAAAGGAAGTGGGAGGAGGTTGAAGCTTCAGAAGCTCAGATGAAGAATATGAGCATGGCAGCATGGGACTGGAGTCGTGGGGACTGGAGGTGGAGAGCATTTGGTCGGATCATGTCAGATCAACGGTCCGGAGTCTGGAGTGTTATCTAGTTTACTCTCATGCCTATCAGCTGATTGTGATTGTTTGGTTCATGTTGCTTCATGGACACACCTGTCATATCATGTCATGGTCTCCTAGGTCCTGTGCGTGAAAACGTCGGGGCAGAAGAGAGTGGCCAGTTGAAGATGGGATGGGCCAGGCCACCTTTTCTCGGTGTTCAGCAGAGGTGGCCATGATTTGTGTCCAGTGTTTACTATTGTGTACTCCTAGTTACGGCTTGTGTATGTGATGCCTGATGTTCACTCTTCTGCCGCTTAGTGTTGGAAGGCAGTCGGGTCAGTGAGCTGCTTGGGATGGTGACTAGGGACCTGGACTCCAGGTCGCACACAAGTGCACTCATGTGGTTCATCAACCGGAGTCTTCTTGATGCCACAAGGTCCGTTCAGACTGTGTGCCACAAAGTCCGTTCAGTTTCTGGGGCCACACTGGGCCACACTGTCCGCCATCCCACCAAGGTACAATTGCTGTTTAGATTGTTGTGATTCCTTTCAGAACCAGGAGTTTGCTGTCTTTTGCTTTCTTTCGAGACCGGCAGGTGGACACGTGAGAAAGTCTTCTCCAAGCATCGCAAGATTCATGATCGTTGGCAAAAATGGTTTTTGACTTTTTGAACGGCTTCTCAGTGGGGCTCGACCTTGGAACTTGATGTGGCCAAAGTTCTACTAGAACGGCCCGATCTGCTCAGTGTCAGGGTATGTAAAGGGTATTGAGCAA